TCCAACTCGGTGTGGAAAAGTTCAAGACTCAATAATATTTCGTAAAAGTCTGATACCTCACTGCATACTAAATAACCAGACAAAATAATGTTATTATCACGAACCTTTGTATCGTCAAATCAATTTCCATTCGATCCCAAAACTACAGAGGTCAAGCATATCCCGGCTAGGCTTTCCCTGTCGTGATACCCCGTGAAAAATTAATTAAAAAATATGCTTTTGCACATAAAATTTCACTGAGAACTAGACAAATAAATAAGGCCAAAGTAGCTATGACCTTGTTTTATAACTATAGGTAAACTATCTTAGCACTGATGAGGCCCGAATAATTTGCCGGTTTTTGCGCTCTGTTCTACTGGTTTAGCACAAGCACTTAAAAAAGTCCCGTTCAAACTGAGGGCTGAAGTCGCGATCAGTTAACTGATTGAGACACATTGTCTGCGAAGTTGATTCGAAGACGATTTGCCTAATAGGCCGAACATCGACGTGACATTTTATGATTTTCGACCTGCTAGCTTTCTTTCTAAATTATTCCTTGCTCCACTGCTGTATATATATGTTAAGATGTGATTAGTCTTGGTATTTATTTCAAAAATATGTACATGGTTGACCGCCAAATTTGATCGAAGGCGACAAGTTTCTACAGGACAGTTTTACTGGTCATTCTTACAAAAGCAAACAAAAAGCTGCCATAATCTTATTTGAGTTCTTAATCATGTAAATGCTTGACGAAGCTCAATAGGTGACCGTTCGTCAGAGTAATATAATATCTGGAGCGTTTGGTAGTCTTTCGACATCCTTGATAACAGTCGATTTATACGTTTGCGTATCCAATTAAAAAATACAATGAACAAGACAATGTATCCGCGTCGTATTGGATAGAAAACATGCTTTTTTAATATGTTGTAAAGAAAAATATGACGTACCTCGGCCAACAAAGCTCGACGGTGTTAAACTATTCGTAGAGGACATTGTAAAAAGCTAGGATGAAAGAAAAAAAAAAGTCATATTAATAGAGCCGACTAATGTCCAACGAAACAGCTCGTTTAGCGTGGTGAAACTGAATACAAACAGTTGAACACTAAAGAAGAACTGTAGTGTTTCAAGATGGAGAGTCTACTTTTTCTACGATGTGCGATAGTTTCAAGCTCAAACAATCCGCCAAAATTACCTCAAACGTAGAAAATGTCAAAAATTCAAATCGACCTCATTTCGCCGTATACCTTACCCGCAATAGGCCACAATTTGTCAGCATCCGCTCACTTCATACTCTACAGTAATGTTCTAGCTGGTGCCAGTAAACTGCATGCCAAAACACACGAACTCGATGCAGCTAATGCCTCTGTCTTGTCTAGCGCTATTCCTATGACGTACAGCTTCACAATGGGTACCTTCAAAATGATATTATCTCAATAGGTTGGATGCATGAGCTGATGTACCTCACCACGGCAAGTTGTGTCTTGCTATGAGGTGTCCTTGAGGTGATGGAACAGTAAAAAAAAAAACATCTAAAAAAAGAGACGACAGAATCGTTGTCTTCGAGTCCGGCAGCTCGAGCCTCCGTCCACAAAAAATCGCTGAAGGTGGTAATGTAATTAAGTCTTGTCAATGTGGGCTGGGGGGGGGGGGGGGAATTTCAGGCAAATAGTACGCTGTATTCGGCAGCCCAGGTGGGCTGAAATTCAGTCGTCGCTCAAATTTTCTAATGTAGATGCTAAACGATTATATTCAGCCACGAGTTCGGAATGGCTGGGGCTGCACGTTACGCATCCATATCGCTGTACCTGGGACTCCGGTTCTTAAAACGGCGAGCTAGAGGACCCCACTCATCACGTCAAAAAACGATAGAGAAATATGCATGCAATATCTATTTGCTTAACGCAAAAAACTGGAACTACGAATGAGGATAAATAGAAAAAAAAAAACTATGCGAAAGCTTTAGGCATTAAACAGCTACGAACTAAAAAACATCGCGGAAAGAGACCCGTCTGAGTGCCTTTAAATGTACCGTGTACGTATGTAGGGAAGCTTTCGTGAAATTAACAATATAAATCGGTATTCAATTAAAGAACTGGGCGCATTATTAGCGATTTAGCAAAAGTTTTGTGTTATTTGTGAACGAATTGACGAGGTCGTGCTTTCACTCATATCTGGAAACGTTTGCCTAAGCTATGGTTAGAGTACTGTTTACCGGTACCCATCAAGCAGCTGTCTGGTACGCGAAAAAGACAGTTGGAAATAAAGAATTCCATTACCCTAAAGCAGTTTAATACGAATTTGGAAAGATCCCACGTTACCCTAAGGGATCTTATGTTACCAACTCAACGATTCAGATTTCTCAACCAACCTAGGTAATAGTATCGAGACACACTTCATTTGTGAAGCAAGCACAGGTCGTTCGAATTAACACGTACAAAAAGCCAGTTCTTTTTTTGTCTAGCCGTGTCGATGATGAGAATCAATTGTAGACTGCTAAGTACTAACACTCTATTCTAACTTATTTATTTCTATTTCCGTATGTGGTCGACGAACCAAATCTCTAATAGGTTACTTTAAGTTACCCGATTTTCCTCAAGTTGAAGATTACCTAAATCGCGGTCTCGTTTTGTTCAGGAAAACTTAATTTTGCTCTTCTCGGAGACTGGAACATTTAGTGTGCTGTATTTTACTTCAAGTATGGTGAATTGGAGTTAATTTGTTTCCCATAAGAACACTGCTTCTGGAAGAAAATAAAAAATTTACCACGATAAAAATTTGTATAACTTCATTATGTTTTTGATTGATACGTTCCCCTGTGAGCAGTCGTTAACAAGATAATTAATGATTAATAAAAATTAACTACTTCAGTTGGTACGAAAATAATGTCGTTCTTCGCCGCTAGAACACTCTGACGTCGTGAGCGCGTATCGAGGACCAACTTTTTTTTATTTCCATTGATCGTTTCGGGCGAAATGCTCGCTCGGGAGCCGTTCTAGCTAAAATAATGTGAAATATAATAACACAGCTATCGTGTTTAAAATCAATGAGATTTAAACAGTACTTCATTGAGGTCAAACAGAGAGCGCCACGTCTCTGCGCTGCATTGTGTGCGCAAAAGCGGTAGGTAAAGCCTTGTGCCATGCCTATTTCGTAACGAGCCGTTATTTTCTGACGTTTACGGCCTTCTGGTTATAATTCGCCCGGGACGATGACCAATTAAACGTCTGTCATATTCAATGGCACGACAATGCAAAGATATTGTCCTATTCTCTGGCAAATGCTATTCATGACAGTAGGGCGCGAATTATGCCGGAAATAACGTCAATGAGCGAAAAGTCTAGCCAGCCTTCAAACTATAAGTTGCGGGAAACCTTTAACGGCGAGTCTGGAATCACGTTGAGCCAATCAGTTTCAATGGGAAATAATACAGTATATACAATAAACCACGCTTACATAGTTGCTAGTCCGTACAACCGTAACCTGCACTAAAAGAATCTGCGTACGCCAAGGAGGACTATTAAAGATATACTTAAACAATGGCTCTCGTCTCTGCTTTTGCTTGATAGTCAGTCAATATATTTAAACAGCACCAACGGTCGTATTTTTTTCGAATAAATTAACTTAGCAAACGAGTTATTATCATTACCTAAGCTAGACCCCGAGTCGGCACCTGCTAGACGCATAGGCCATCATAGCATTTACATACTTGAAAATTATAAGCCCTTCATCTATAGATAGAGATAACGATAGCAAGCAAATCTCACTGCCGACTGTCATGAACAAACTGGTAGACTATACTTGTATAGTGATGGGTTTTTTGGAATATGTAAAAGGGTAGAAAAAATATACACAGTAGCACGCGTCGTTGTGGCGACGAGGGCTATTGATGATAAGAAAATGTATGTTCAGTTAGTTCACGGTTATTAGAATACAGTGTCTTTTTCAGCTTGGTGTCGGTCGGGGTGCCGATGCTATTTTGAGTTGCGGTCCCGACTACTAGACCGATAATTTCCTAGACTGGCCCTTGAGAAGGCTACCGTCCTGTGATTTGGTATGGATCTGTTGACCTGCTTGGCACAGTGGACGTGAAACGCTATAAAAATGTAGTAATTACGATGTAGCGACGGCTGGTCTGCGGCTGTGACAAATGCTGAAGTCATCTCCTGCTAAGGTACTCATTCTGATAGACTGGCAGTTCTTCTGTGTTTTTGAGCCTTGTTATGCACGCCTATGGCTAGCAATGACGTTGTTCGATTATATCATAGTTGTGTTTACATTTGGTGTAACTTAATTTTGGTGAAGTCTATGCGAGGAACGACGAGTTGGTTTTCATCATAATTAAGTCATACAAGCTCGTCCGGATTGTAGGTTAAAGCATTTCTTGTTAAAGCAAAACTATGGAACAATAGGCCGAAAAGGTACAGTTACTATTGGTATAGCTACTCGGTGCCTAATGCCAGTTTAGGAAGTTCTAATTGAATAGTGCTTATTTTTTCACTCTATTTTTTGCTGCCCCTTCAGTTCCATGTCTTCTCTCATATATCTATACTCTCTAACGCAACAAATTCGACCCGGTTCAAAGACATCGCCCACAGAAGCTTAGTATTTTTCCGCCTCTCTACTTAACAACATTAAGGCCGTTTGTCTACAGATCCAGCCGTAGGAAATATATACATATTTATATGAACGCGCTATATCATACCAGATATTAAACGAAGGCACAGAAACAAGGTCAATCAGCGAACAACGTTAGGTCAGTCCATCCTTTATTTTTGCTTTTCTTTTTAATTATGAAGCAATTGTTTCTCGAAGTTATACAACGCCATCGTCAGACAAAGTCATTTGGAGCGTCCTTATTTCATTATAGCTATTGGCTCGTTTGCTCCATTTGATATCTACAAAAACACTACAATGGACAGCCCTTTTAACTACCCCCTACCCCCTCCCAGATCGCCGTGTTACTCATATATATATACAGCATGGTTAGATATTGCCCTTTTTTTGTAAGTCCTTGTTGGCTACCGGTTTCCAAGTTCGTATTAAGTAATAGTTTGCTGCCTAACACATATATGGTCCTGTATTGCGGAGACTATCTGCAGCAGTTGTTACGATCAAAGCCAATATCATAATGCTTGCCTGTTTCTCGATATTTCAGTTTTTTCTTTGTTAATATATATATATATATATATATATCCATCTAAGAACGGAAGGCCAAAACCCAGACCCATTATGGCTCGGTTTAGTTTTTGCTGCCTTTTGATTCCGATTAATGAATCGTTATAGTGTTTACCGATAACCAATAGGATTTCCCCATTGAAACAACAAAAACTAGCAGCATTGGTCATGTTATTCACCGATCGATCGTCAACCGCTTTAACAACTGCTCGAGAACAAATTTAACTTGGCGGGTTCGAAGGCTGGGTCCCGCCGTATTGATCCTTTTCCCAGGCTACCTGTGGAACAAGAAGGGTTTGGCCGTCTGAATTGATTCGGTCCTAGGCCAATTTCAAGTCAACAAACGCAAATTGATCACCGCCTCCACTGGGCAGACAGCGTTGGCCGCAATATAACAGAAGCCAGTTAAGCTATGCTTTCGATGACTTTTCGTGCAAACGGAAGATAAATCGTTTCCATACTAACAGTCCTATTCGTCGTTTTCTGCATAAGCATATCCACTTTTTTTTTTTTTTTGTTTTTGTGTATCGTTTTGACAGTTTGGTAGCTTACTAATGAATACTGCTCTCCATCACCTTCTATTCAGCTCCGACGCGTACTTTCCGACCACCGCTACCGTTAGAGAGTAGCGTTACTATTAACACTTCCCACAACTTTTATGATGTTCACCCGATTTTCCCATCAATTAACTTCTCGTAAAATCTAGTTTACACAAATTCCAGACGCCCGTCTCGCGTACGGGGTTTGCATCACCCTCCTATGGCTTGTTTCTTTTCGTCTTATCACGCCTACTTAACTCGGTTAATAATTAGCTAAAATAAATAGAGAATATGCACATACATTCGCCATGTAAATATATCTAAACATACTCGTTTCAGAAATCCCTAAACATTAAGCTAGCGTAGAGTACGTTGAAGTTTAAACGACAATATGAAACTGATGACGTTTATTGGAACGTTCTATATAAATGAATCGTACACATGCTTATATAACCTAAAAAAACAAGAGCAGTTTTTATATACAAGAGTCAGCGGACATCTTTAGAAGCTTTTGGAAGTGAAGCAATAATGAGCTGGGCCACCGCGTCGGTATTGTAGCTTGTTGCCTTTGCTGTTCTTCCTTTGTCAATCTATGGCAAGTTGACAAAAAATAATAGGGAAACGAAGAAGACATTACGAGACTCTGACGAAAGCCAGGCTTCTCTGAGTGTCAGCTGTCAACATTGCCCTAATCGTCGTCATCAACAAGCGGTCAACAAAGATCACTCTTGATCGCTAGTTTCGTTTGAGCTGCAACAGCCGCAAGAAGAGGCCTAAAAAATTTACGAAAATGAATTAGTAGGAACGATGGCAGGTCGAGGTGTGGCATAATCTAATGAATCTAATATCAACAGTTGACCAGCGCCTAGATTAGATTTCTAATAAACAATGAAAAATTTAAAAGCTAGAAAAAATGAATCATAAAAAATCGTATCGACTTAGTAACACGTCTAGTAATGGCCATATGTTCACTACTAATTCTTGAAAGCTGTTCCTTCACTATGCCGTACCTCAGCACTGCTGCACGAAAGCTTCCTGGTACGGTTGTTGCTGATGTCATTCTCGGGGTTTTGTTGTGTGTCAGTCGATACCTGACGCTGCTGATCAGATCTTCGATTATTCTGCGAGACGTCACTGTTGGCGTCCGGCATCATGTCTGCCGCGGGCTCGTTCTCTACCGCTGCCGATAGCCGCGAAGGCTCTTCGCTATCTGCGGAAGCGTCCACCCTTCGCGTCACTGTCACTCGAGCAGAAATCACAAACTGAGCTGGCGCCTGAGAGCTACCATTAGCATTAACAGAAACGGCTTGCGTCGGCATTCTCTCGTGGGAGGATAGCCGGCTCTCTGTCGCGGTGCCGTCTCCTTCGTAGGATCGAATAATGGCTGGCAGTTCGAATCGGTGATAGAAGTATGCCATCGAATGCTGGAAGATAATAATAGCCATTAAATAGCTAATATTAAAGTAGAAATATCCTTATCTTCCTACAACACAGCGCCTAACCTTGCGTTAGTCATGACCAGTAAAACTGAACCTGCAAACTACGCCTGCTAAGTGCCGGTTACACACCTATTGCCTATTAATAGGGAATTCCGTGGCTTTCATTAGCGACAAATAAAAGTGGGAAGAGAAGCTCACCAAGATAAAAAAGATAGATGTAAGCAGAGCGAGCCCACTGTACTGGCCGTTGAATCGATAATCGTAAGCATAAAACGCGAAGTGGTATAGGAAGAAAAATCTGCAACGTCAATAAACCCATTCAGAAAATACAGATGAGGTTATCGTTTTCTGGTTAGCAATCTCATCACCGTCCTAAGATTTTTTTTTGCTCTCTAGCGTTCAGAATTTGTTGGGCCTGGACAAACCTGTGTCTGGCAACACTTTCTGTGACATATGTTCTACACTGTGCCGACAGTAAACTGAAGTTCTTCGTAGGCGACGAAGCCTTGTTCATAAGCAGAAAAACACACAGAACAGGAGAAATATGCTGAAGTGCATTCGGTTTTATTCGAGTTGTATTGACCTTGGCTCAATCAGGCCAACAGTTCGCACTGTCATTTCAACGATGCTACCAACGTTGCCATTGCGTTTCGAAATTAAACCGCGTGCTCGAGGGACTTTCCGGGTTCTTAAGAGGCATCGGGACACAGGGGCTCCGCGGTGGCGGGTCGCTACGCAGGATGGAATTAGATGAGAAAACTAACTGATGGGCAGAACTTGGATACCGCACTCTGGCTTTGGAGATTCGAAAGATTAGGTCTGCTCCGGCCCGAGATTTTGTAGGCCAGAGCCTACCGAGAAACGATGAAGCATCTATGACCTCTTGTAACAAGCTACCCTTTAATATAGGCCGTTGACAAATGACGCCATCCGGCTAGGAATGCTCAATTCGTCGTCTAAGCTTTCGTCTTTCTATCTACCTCTCTCCTGGCTCTCTGCTCGGAAATAGACGGCCCAGGAAATTTGTCGACCTGAAGGGATGAAAAGTTGAAGCTAAATTGAGGTTTGCTCCTGCCCGCAGTCATTAGGCCGACGGAGACCCTGGAGCGAGGTTTCGTACGCCCTCAACCCTCCGGACGGATGTTGCGTGTTCCACATACAAAATCAGATTGCTCTACAAAACTAAGATCACTGAAGTACGTACTGAATTAGTCGAGTGAACAGAAATGCAGAAGCTTCAAACAGTACGCCTGGGCAAGACTGTCACGAGGCGACAGCAATAGATCGGGAACCGAGCCTGCCTTGCTCGATACAAAAGCGATGCACTTATAGCAGTAGATGAAGAAAAAAATTACGACTGAACTTATGTCGGCTTCCATAATGTCAATTAGTCTTTAGACTATTAGTAATTCGACGAAGAAACGAACAACTGGACGTTTCTAGAGCTGCCGTCAACGCTGCGTATGTCGTAGGGTAGCGGGAAAGAAGACGCCATGTTTCGAACGGTGTCTGCAATGCAACTCTCGAGGATCACATGTAGGCGAAAACGCTCTCGTGAGGAAGGTCTTATTTTCAGCTACTTCTTCATTGCGATACAGTTACAGTTTCATAAAATAGATTGCTTTATTGTTATCACAGAGAGATTGTAATGTTATATAGCCCTATGGAGCGTTAGTAAAATTTGCCATATTTCGATAGAATCTTAAGTATACGTTTTAAATTATATTGTAGCCATGGAAAGCGGAAGTAAAAAAAAAATAAAATAACTGCTTGGAAATTCGTTGGGGAAATAATATTTTAACTTTGAACAATTTTCCATATGATTGTGTAGCTTTATTGTTAGCAGTCATTATTTCTGTCACAGATATTCATATACCTCGGCCAGTGGCGTTTCGATATGGATGAGTGACAGCAGACGGCGTAGAAGTGGTCAGCGAGCCATACCACGAAAATGATCCCGAACGCCGTTGTGTAATCATTGAAGAATTCGCTCATTGTTGCCTCCATGCCAACCAAAGCTAAGACAACGGTAAACAATGGCGTTGTACGAAAACTACGGCCAGAGTTGAATTCAAGTAGATGTAATATCTCCACTGCAATTGTACGTACAGCAAGTAGACAATGACAAAATATTAAATCGGAAAATCTGTAAGGCAAACACCGTCGTTAAAGTAGAAACCTTAAAAAGGACACAAATCCAAGTATATATAAATGTGCAAAATCCCTTAAGTGTTATTAATAAAATTTTAAACCTACGCAAAACTCACTGCTGTTATAACAACTCATGGGAACAGCAGTAGAACCGTTTCGACCCTTGATCGTGTGAATATTTATATTGGTTTTTGCCTTCTTCTGGTCACAGCAAGCTTTTTTTGATAGCCTTTCGATATAAATGAAAGAGGCAACCAACCATATGCCAACAAAACACCCCATTCTTGAAAAGAGCTTTTACTGGCTTTTGTCTATACTATAAATCGAACAGTAAAAGGTTCAGTACGCATTGTTCCCTGCCTTCGAAAATATACTGCCGATGGACCGCACAGATAATTATTAGATCCTAATCCTAAGGAGACTAAGCTTTGTTGGCCAAAGCAACTGTAAAAATAGTCGCCATTCTATTGGTTGCAAGATTGCAATAGAGATCAGCCGAAGCCATGGTATCTACAGTGAACTTACTAAGACCAGATTGCAATTGCCGCTAACTTGGATTGGCGCGTAAGGCAAAGTGACGCAAACAACTGAGATAAAGGCTCTACCCACAATTCGGACTAAAGCATCGAATATAATGTAGATCCTTCAGACCAATTAACTCGATAAAGACCAACTTATCCCGCAAGCCGATTGCCCTTCGGGCTTTTCAAAATTCTATGGAATGTTTTTATTACATTGTGAACTACTGCTTTAAGTGAGCACAGAGGATATCGAGGCTCGACAGTTAAGTATGACTGTAGCATTGGCAAACTTAGCCACAAACACATTGGCAAACGTGCGGAGGGATCCATGATGATAGAAAGCAATGAACTGCAACATCTGCAGCATACGTACCTCAATGCCTTATCCAAAATAGTTGTTTTTTTACTAGAAATAGTTTCCAAAAATCATCCTCTAGTTATATGCGAGTCAGCAAATATAATTACTTTCATTTCAGTTTTTCATTGTATGCGTTATAATACGTGCAATCGTACGTCATAGTAAAATATGTACCCGTTAAGTTAATTAGGATGTCTTTATTTCAAAACAACATTGCGCATAATCTAAACGGCTTTGCCGATAGACACTGTCATTTGTGGCCAAACAAACGCGCTGAATTACGTGCTCAGGTCTTAGTGTGAGCCCAACATGGGCGCCAGATTGTTCTCGCTTTTTCTATGATGGGTCAGCAGATTTTTTATGAAGTTCCTAGGGATCGAGCGATTTTCGACTCGGGCGGACATGCGTACTGATATAATTTTGATTCAATCAGTGACAAACGAGAGTAAGCATGGACAACAGCTGACACTTATTTATCGGTTTTTTTTTTGAGATAATTTTAAACGAAGAAGACATCTCTCCCAGTGTCGTTGAAAGATGACATTGGAATTGGCATCTAGCTGGGTCGAGTCTGGGTTCTCTGTCCTCCTATAGCAAAAGTACTAAACATGCACTATTGTTATGTAGAAAATCCGTAACGTTGCCTGACCAGCTTGGGCGTATAGTTCAGGATCACTTGCGTATTTATCAAGTTAGAGGATTTCTTTATTGTACTGTTAGGTAATATTATTTCTATGGGATATTAATATACCATCTATTTTACTCCTGACCAATTACGCTGATACTAATAAATACGCAGAAACCATATACATAGCTTAATAACCAGGCAGTATGTCCCCGTCGAACTGAAGCCACCCCCGTATTTGTTGCGACGCTTATCATGTTAATCTCTTGATTATTACGCTGCGTTTCGCCTCTCTGTATCAAAAAAATGGACAGTAGCTACGGCGGTTGCTAACGCCCGAATAAAGCTGTATATAATTAATAATTAAATGACAGCTTAGTAATAATTATTAGTAAAATAGGTTCAGGATAAAAAAAAAACGAAGTTAATTGGCCTGACAAGCTTCTGAAGCGGTGTTTTTTTTCGAAATTTTCGATCATGCAGTACGCTATAAGTCTCCTAACTTATTGATAGTCGCACAGTAATATGCAGGTACATATGTACGGTACAGGATACCACCTGAATCTCTGCATCGGCAAGACCCAGTTAAGATGTCGTAAGCCTTCACCAAGAAGAAACAAAGTGAGCTCTTCTTTCTATACTGTCGCCCCTGTTCTAAATATCTAAGTGAGATACAGAGACTGAATGACTGAGACAGGCAAGGATAACAGAAGATCACCAGTCCCTGAGCAAGCAAATAGAACAGCCAGCAACAATTAGTCGCTCGGGCCTCGCCCTCCGCTCGTCGTTGAACTGATTCCTCAATCGGCCTTCGACTAGCATCGAACAATGTACAGCTAGTAGGAACAACAGCGGAGCAATCATTGGGCTGACTTGGGAGCGAGCCGAAACCGATTTCGCTGACGAGTAGAGGACCAGTTCGGTAATGTACTTAGGCAGGGAGCTATTGCTCCTGTTTAGGACCCATCGGGATCACAATGTCAAAGGGCGAGAGACTGAGGGGGAAAAGGGTCGGCAAGTTAGACGCATTGCTATAACCACCATGACCGTTACGTTGCTACGACGACTACTACCCATCACTACTGTTATTATTATTATTATTATTATTATTATTATCATTATTACAAGAAACACTAATCCCAACTTGATTAAAACAGAATCAGCCAGCATCCCTTAATCCAATAGTCCCCCAGTTTGCTGCGGCCCACGCGTTCCGGCTTCCGCGTGGCATTCTCGCAGTTATCCTCATGGTCATACTAGCCAAAAGGCATCGAGCCATACTGGGCTACGCAGTGGCCAGCCAACATTACAGGCTCGCACAAGCTGGTATCCGGACGACAAAAGAAAAGAATGACAGGGAGACTATCGAATGAAAATGTTAGCGCCCCATAACGACAGCACGGGTTCCAGTATTAAGAGCTAGTCCTGGTGTTGGCTATACAGCCGTTAAGCCAGATTGCCTCTAAGAACATCATTATTGCTTAGATGAAAGTAGATAAATTAAAGTCAAGACAAAAAATCGACAATAGAAAAAAAAAACAGGGAACAATAAGATCTAACTGCTAGCGATCGTTCACCTGTAAAAATTATCGATGTGTTAGATTTTGACCCATTTAGGTGGTGAAACGTGTCTTAATCCTAATGCAGTAATATGGTCTACCTAGATATTATTCATTTTCGAAATGCAGTTTGGCCAACGATACTACGCCATAGGTGCTTGCTCTTTAGCATCCCCGCTAGACACGTTATAGACTGAAGCACTATTATCACTATATAGCTAAGGGATAGCGAGTCGATACTAGACCCGACGAAGGGGAAAATGCCAAAAAAATAAAACAAAAATCTCAAGGACCTGGATCGAACCGTCGAACTTGCTCTGTTTTGCCCCGCCCACGGTGGCCCAGAGATTTCTCTTAGAAATTTCTGCAGCTCTATATGTTTCTGTTCCAGACAAACCACCCGCACCAGTAGGTTCGACTGGATTCAGTTAATTTACTCTCGACAGATAATGGATCCTCTCGCTAGACTATTAGCTACCTCGCGCAACGGCAAGCATGGTAACCGGCGTAACCATAACGTTATCTATTTACGTCGTACCGTCACGCCTGCAAAAATGAGATCTAGACATTGCCTGGATTCGTTCCCACCTTCTTAAACGACTATTCCTTTGATCTTATACCCGTGTAAGGGTCATTTTGTCATAGCATGCAAATTGGAAAGCCCCTCTCATGGCCTTAATCGTTGACATCAGGCGATCCGATTCAACAAAAAAAAAACACTAACTTTAGTGGAGGCTTATCAGATATTATACCTAATATTACCGGTTTCAGTTGCCATTCGGGGTGATTTTAACTTTTCAGAGTTCAGAATCGGATAGCTGAACTTTGTTTACCTTTCTGCTTACATCATTACGATGTTACTAGCTTGAGCGAGACAGCCTTAGCAACTACAGCTTATATATCCACAAGAGAAAGGCAACAGTTGCGTCCTGGTTCAGTATCGAATGCGTATTTCACCAACACACAGTATCAATGACAGTAATTAGTTACTGTATTAACAGATAATAGCTACACAAATTGTAAATAACACCATAATAACATGTTGTTTACAATTGGCCTAAAAAGAACACTTTTCCTTTGATTCGTTCCCGGCATTACAAAGCTATTGGCTGTAGTCAACTCTGTTCCGTCCTGTGGCCCCAGAGCGGCCAATAATAATGAAATTACAGCTTTATCCATCACTACACAAGGCCTGTCGAGCGTCAGAGAAAACATCATCAAATACCATCCAGCTACCAAAGGCTTTACGGTTTCGCTCTATTTATTTCTTGTTTCCTACTCTTAGTTCCTACATATTTCCCAACCCCTAATTCCCAATGGACACGAAAGCCAGCTTCGGTCCTAGGAGTACCGGTGGACAACACCGTCTTCGTTGGTACTACCGCTACGGGAGACTGGGATTTTGATCCGCATCCTTTTCAGGCCATCTTGTCCGATTCGGTTCATTGGTACTTAGCTGGCTATTCGTTAGTATAAAAGGGAATTCGCCCCCCCCAGCTATATATACATAATCTTGTCGGGTTTTTCGATCGCCTTGATCTCGCCTGGCAATAGCCTGTTGTTGGATACGTGAACTGCGAACTTTCATCGTCTCATTGCTATACAAGCACAATTGATTTGGCGGCCTCGGGTGGATTTCACATATATGTGAACTTTTCTAAGAGCTCCAAGCCAGCTTTTTGTAATGATAAGAATGAAATAGGAGGCAGACGTAAAGTATCCGATGCCGTAACATAGGATCCGGCTACAGAAGCCGCTAACAACAAACTAATAGGAGCTCCGGTCGGACACTTGCTTCCCAAGGCATCTGCCAATCTTTTCAGTTTACCCTTTACGTCGGCGTTAAAAAAAAAGAAGGAAGTTAGCTTTTCCTACAGGGAAGATCCCTTAACCGCTTTGGTGACTAACTGCTTGTTGCTGCCGCATGTCTCAGCTAGCGTGGTACGTGCTATGCATTCACTGGCCCTGGGGCATCCGAATCGACCTGAGTCCCGCCCACTTTTTAGCTCCTCTCCTTCACGCCTCCAAAACAGCCGCCCCCTGTATCATCGCTTCTATCTCGTATCGCTATTACCGGCGTCATCGTCAGCGACGCCCAGACCATTCATCCTACGCCTCGATAGATTTGATGTCATTATCGTTCCTCCCATTGGCCATCAACAACTATATGGCCAACAATGTGGGGAAGCAGCGACTAAAAAAAAATAAGTAGAATCGCTATTGCAGCGTCATTCATCGACTACTGACCAGATGTTATTCAACGTTTAACGTTACACAAGGCGCTGAGCTGTGACTCCGACAAGAGGCTAACCGATCTACTTACCGGTCGAAGGCTGACAACAGATTGATACTGAAATAAGCGTACGATGCAAACGGAGCTCATACTATAACCCCTAGACTAGAAATCGGTCCAAACTCCTTGTCGCTGGACCGTCGGATGGCTGGTATAAAGGGGGTTTCTTTTGAATAAGACACAATATCTTATGTTTGAAAGCTTGCTATTACTTGGGGTAGCCGTCGGTGTATTCTCAGTGGTAGTAGAAGTAGGAGACACCGCGCTCGGTTGCAGTGGCGCAATATGGGTCTGCTATGATCACCTAACTATGGCCCACGGGAATGATAATCTTACTGAGCTGGGCTTGGAAAGACGCTCCCGCTTTGATTCAGCTCACTGTTCATTGGCTCTGAGGCGCCACCCAGTGCGACAAAGAATATATGGGTCGAATAATGTCAACTGGTCAGGGCTAGCTACAGGAAACGAGCTGGACTAGACTCAAAGGTCACCCGAACGGCCAGTAGCAACAACAGTCCATAATCACCATCGGATAGCAAATATGCTTTATGTGGGGATTACTTGTATTGCTACTGCTATGGTTGCTAGCAGTTTGAATAACCAACGTGGGACTTGTCCTGCCGTTCGCCGAGCTCTAGCCATGTCTTGAACTAGTCCATGACATAGTTAATAAGCCGCCAGTAATGCACATAGAGGAGGCTCAATTCTTTCGGCCTTGTTCGTGCGGGTACAGCCAAAGCTTATCACTGTGGAAGCGTGTGCGAACATGTAAGTGCGAGTCGAAGGCGTGGGGCTAAACGGGACGAGCCTGTAGCGACAGATTGCACGACATGGCCTGCATGCTATAACCGATGGAGGCAAATTTAAGTAAGTGACGATCGGTCGGGAAAGGGGGAGTAAACGTGACATTTTCAATCTGACAGTTAGTTTGTCTCTCACGAGACCTCAAAAAAGTTCAGCTTTTCTTATAAAACAACAGGGAAGGTGTACGAAGAAGTGTTTCCTTAATTGTTTTACCGACGCTAGCATTTCAGTTAGCGCTCGGGCCTCTACATGTAATGCAAGTAAATCTTCCTCATAGTTTGGATACCTCAGAACTGACGGCTTTCATAACCAGGTTTCGGTGGGACAGAAGTAACCCGCTTCATGCAGGCGACGCCTTCGAAAACGGGCAGTGTTTACAGTGGCTGCAGGCATACGGCAGGCCATAGGCTGACAGGCATCTTACTGTTGAACGAACAACTTCTTTTCGAAGTTGCAGCTAGTTGGGCTAAGAGACAAGTTGTTGAATCGTAAAAGAAAGGCGATACGAAACATCCAGGCGCTTCCTGGAGTTGCTGGTGCCGCTACATAGAAAAGGGCGTTAGATGTGGTCCCCATAGGATAATACGTTACCAATGCACTTGAATATGCATAACCAGGACACGTAGGCAGCATGCCCAGCGACTTGGTGGGAAATGCATGCCATGGATCGTGCACTTTGTAGAAGTAGTCCCGGCTTGCTGGGTGCAAGGATAAACTGTGAATACGAATTAGATTTGAGAGATGGAGAAAGATATTTATTGGTAATTGAGACGGAATTAACATTGCGCACCGTAGTGGCACACAGACGCTGTGCCGATTTTCAAAGGTTGACAGCTGGTGTAACACTTCATCGTATTGCCGCACGCTTCTCAGCCGCAAGTTTGGTCTAATTAGTAAACCTACTAGCCCGCGTACGATTTTCACAAATATATAGGGAACGGTATTTTTAGTTAAATGCTACACCAGTTCTGAACTATATTTTTCTGAGTAGCAGAAATAGCTAGCTGCTACGACTCTATATAATAACATGGTCTCGAACACTGTGACATGAACCGATAAAAGCAAAGGCACAGAAATATATTTCCTTTTCCTTTGTCCACTTTTTCTACCTTTTCAACTTTTCCTAAACATAGTTTCATTTTGTCTAGCATTCACTAAATATAAGACGATTCAACTTCTCCGAATTTACGCTATTATGTAGAAAAGCTATTTTCTATCGTAATACCGAGTCAAAAGACGGTCGAAGTACGCTACGCGACTTACCTATGAGCGTGAAGATTTGGTGATGAGTATATCTCATTAGCATTGATATTGACAGTGTCTGTGAATAAAAAAGCACAAAAGATAATTGTGAGTGAAACTTCGAATAGAAACTACAGGTTCAGCAAAGCAAATACTCGGCGATGGTCGCTTACGTCGTTAGGCGTGAAGCCTCCTAGCAGCAAGTCTTGTCGCCTAACGGAGAACACCGAAAACATACAGCTTGTAGAAGACTTTTGTAATAATTACTAGACTCTAATTGATTTTAATAGTATAATATTTCGCAAAACAGAAAAACAGTTTCCTATATAATTGCAGACGACAGTAACATGTATTTTGTACATTGAGGACGTGTGCCGGGCCATTTTGGAAACAAAAGCTTCATTACACGTGGCTAATCCGTGATAATTTAAATATTCCCTTCCGACCTTATTTATCCATATCCATATTTACCTTTTCATATTCGGTACCAATTCAATTTTGCTATTTGCCGGGGCCGAAAAACTATCAAAGCCGCTTTTGAAGGAACACAACCGTGGATTGGCCGATTAGGCAATTTGCAGTCGTAAGATCATTGGCAGGTATTTTGAGTGGAGTATATTCAAAAATTGCACTCCATACATTGAGTGAAGTCTACAACGAGCAGCGACTTTTGACTACCTTTTAATAAGCTCGCCACTTCACGCAGCCACAATGACAGGTGACGAAAAAATGTGTCTTTTTAGCCTTTTCGGTATAAAGCAACAAAATGAATGGATAGCTTTGAGAGATACACCTAAGCACCATGTTAAGCTAGATTCACATCTGATTAAGGCATCTTTTGCGTTTTTCGGACCGAGGAGCGCTTGCAAAAAAAATACACGGTCAACAAAGACTTCTATATGGCCTAATTACCTCGAGTGTACGGGGCTAAGAAACAGAAAAGGCCCGATAGACTAGGTCAGTCATCTTTCTCCTCTCCGCTCTAGTTATTCAAGTAGGAATCATCTGCGTTCACAGTATAGTTTGGACCTCGCGCCTTTAGACCTTCTCTCATTGCTGGCGAACTAAATTTATAGCAGCATATTTGATAAAAAAGAGAGCGCTAAAACCTACTAAACTTCTCAATGCCAGGGCTAAAAAGGTCTCGGGAAATGGAGTAAACAAACTGGTTGGGAGATGGAACAAGGTCACATAATAGATTTATTTACTGCTAGAGGTCAGGTGAAACGCTACGCCGTTTGTTATATAAACAATTGTTTTACTTATGTACCAATATTATAAATTATAATATGCCCAAAAAGTAGTAAGGATGACCGAAAGCAAATAAGCGTATTTTCTGTACAGTTAACTATCCTGTGAAATAACGGAACATCAAAATACTCGTCATTTTCTTTTTTTTTTTTCGAATAACGTTTTATAACTTTAGTTTTCCTAGAGAAAAAATTGTAAATCTAATAAGCAACAATCTGTCTACAATAATTGCAAAAATAGCTATAAGTACTGCTTGCCAAAAGGTAACGCTCCATAGTATATCTAAAGATCAATCATATTGGTCTGATTTCAATTTAGCGTTGACCATTTAGTCCGCATCCCAAAACCCAAAAAAAAAAAAAAATACAAACGATTCTATCGAGTTATCCCCATGTCGCTTCGAGTCGGATTATCACTTGTGACTACTAGCAGAGAGCTTAAGTAAGCCGGCCATTAAAAACGAAATGGTTTTAGCAGCAGTAAATATCGTTTAATACCCAAGGTGCTTCATTTTTAAGAAAGGAGTTAATATGTTAGTATATTTTTAGATTTTCCATCTTCTTGAAATCAAGCTAAGAATAGCTGTTGGAGATCTGAGAATCTGCCATTTTAAATGGGTTAACATCAACTGCGTGAAATTTACATAGCGACGCACACAATAGACACGAAAAATATATGTATTTCACGTTTGAGAACGGTAGACCAGTGTCAAAATGTAAAGGCAACTAAAAAAAACTATCAGAATATTACGACCCTACACTGGCACATCCGTACGAAAGCTTGTCCTACTCTGCCCATAATTGTAAATTTAACAATTTCAGCCAAACTACATCGCAGCCTATGTAAAGCTGCTGAACTTATGTATATGGTGATTTATTTCGAGAGAAGTAGGCCCATCCGTTACGGAGAATTTTTGCGAAGTCAAATAGAACGGACCAGATGCCTTCGATGATGATGATGAAACGATAAATCGAACGTTCCCTTTGCTAAACATAGCGTTTCTGCTCTATTATATAGTCCTCGCTCCTTCTCGTTTGATATCGGATATACATTTCAAGGTTTGGCTTACAAGCAAAGTCCGATCATCGGAATTGTCGGTCGAGTAACATGATTTGACTGCATTTTAATATAATAATAATCTATCAATTTTTTACATATATGAGCAAGTAAGCTGCAAATCATCACTCGCATGTATCAAAAGGTGCCTAGAAAGTTTTAAGTTAGAACAGTCAACGTACAAATATGATCATGACTAGAGCAGCAGTTATATAACTTGTCCTCGTGGTCCACATTGTAACAAAACGAAAATGTTCCCCAGTAACAACGTTTTTCACGAAGCCCTTATTATCCTCGCGCTCAGCCAATCGTTTTAGCGAACTCATCAGAATATCTCCATAACCCAGAAGATAACGTAAGACAAATCGGCTCACAGAGTCGCCGAAGCAGGCATCGGAATCCGAATCTGTAACGCAAAAAGATATACATATATATATATATATATATATATAAAAGTAGAAATTAAAGTGAAAGAGAAATTACGTATAAAATAAAAAGTTGTTTGAAACAGGTTCATATTAAAGAGCTATATTAGTAAGATCCTGAGGGTATCATTGAAAACATAAGCTAATATGACAAAAGGAACGGTCGATAATGTTCCGATGGACAATATTATAAAATATGTTATGTATATAAGTAATTAAAATAATTAGTCATTTCGAGTACGTATTCAAAACCTTAACTTAATAACTTACATGGAGGAAATATCGCTGACGATAGATAATGATCATAACCAGTATATCATGCCTCCACTTTAGATTTTGACAAAACTGCAAATCTTACTAGAATGCTCTTTCTGCCCAAGGATATATCAGCCAATCAGCAATTATAAACGTTTACGAACTTCCGAAGACGATATAAGTAATTTTTTCAATAATAGCAAGCACTGCGGGAAGAGCAGAAGGGGAAAGGTTTAACTTACTGAGAGTGACGTGGTAAACGGGAACGTTAAGTTTACTTCGCGTAGCTGGAGCGAGTCGTAGCATGCCGTAATCAAGGCTGTATTCGACGATGGCTTCTTCTGAGGGCCATACCCCTCGTCTATAGCGTTCAAATTCTTGTAAGGCCATGCGTAGCTCTGATACCTCTGTTAAGTTGCCTTCGATATGCGATAGTAGAATGGAACGCTGGCTAATGCCAAGTAGATCCTGAAACAATATATCAGGACCATAGGTTTACCATTCGTTAGTGAACACTGACTTGAAAAGTTAAAGGAGAAGGATGGCCAAGTGGTTGTAGATACCATTTGCGGTTGGTCAACAAAGTAGCTTATATCGGCATATCCGTATTTAAGTAAGCTATTGAACTGTGATCATGTAACATCTATTCTATAATAACGTTTCAAGATATTAACATACGCTATTTGTTGTTAGCGAACTCATCGCTCTATAGTATAATTTGAGTTCTAGTCGAGTGAAGTAAATAGACCAGATGTCTATTCTATGTGTCTATAAAGTGAATTTCCTGAAACCTAACGTGACCCACGAATAAGTATAGTTAGCTCATAATCCCATATGGTATCAAAAAGGCCCAGTTGCCACATGCACATGTGATACATAATAAGACAGTAGTGCCAATAAGAAATCCTAACTTCAACACGACCCTTCAAATGCATGAATTAACCTATTAAAAATCCCATCAATAAATTATGAAGAAAAAAGCCTACACAAGAGGAGAACACAGATAGCGTATTGTTTAACAAAGCGGATCAATGGATATGAGATGCTAAGGCTCCCACTATCGACCAGAACTACATATTTATTTAGCAAGTTCGTAAGGCTCTCGTGATAACCTAGTAACCTATTTGTCTCTTAGGGACACGTTGTGGTCTAGGTTGGAACCCAGGCATAGACATAGACATTGAAGGCTCTGATGGAACGGGACGTAAACTCGGAACATAAAGATTTCTAAGGCTCACCTTTGGTATCGAGAACGTGGAATCTTTTTTGGCCTCACTGGATTCTTCGCGCATCTTGCCTGTGACGGCACTAAAAATTTGGCCTAGAGAAAACGTGTAGTCGTGATCTTTGTCCTGTTTATCCGCGTTCATGATACGCTCCACTTCAGACATGCTATTTGTATATAATAAACACAAACAGAGACCAGGTAAACAAATCGTTCGAGCATTGTTAGACCAAGTAACACAGGATACAATCAAACTTGGATTGGCAATGATTATATTGGTTTGTACATACACGTATTTTTTGCATAAGAGCGCACAGGTAACAAGGTCTCGTGTCTCAAACCGTATCTTTACTTCAGTCTATCAATCACTTACCTCGGATTCATGCTTCCGGATTAACTGTTTCCTTTATGAAAAAATCTTATCAACTATCTTTTCATGTTTGATATATTAGCCTACATGAAATACGTAGAAAGAGCGTACTTAATATACCGAGTGAAAGGGGCAATACCTCGAAGGGAAATGCACGACCATTTTGACTTTCAAATGGGCAGTTACGAACGGGACCGACAAAATCAACACTTGTTCGTTCTGTTAAAGATTTCCACCAAGACTGAAGTCATCGATTCCTTTTTATGCCTCGACTTTTCATAGTTCTTGACGAAACGGAACGCCCAAGGAGAGCATGTCATGTTTTGCTTAACATTTTAAGCAAACACTTTACGACAGTTCTCTGCTTTTAAATCATTAAGTTCTCCCGCTAAAACCTTCAGTGGCTGCCGACAAAAATGAACAGCTTTGTGGACCCGCCTACGGATGTAAAGCGCATAACTTTGTTTCCCTTTTCATGGCTCGCAACAAGTTTTACAAGTTCGCCAAGTACTTCATGCTACAAGAGTTACTGATCACGACAATATTTAACCATGAACTTTGTTTATAGAAAAAAAAATACATAGACGAAAAACTTCTCCGTTAATCGTCGCACTATAATTATTTCACTATCAATGTCATAGATGCTAGAAAAGAAAATTTATTTTACAAAAAATTTGCTCAAATCGAACTTCATACTGCCGTGCATTGAGGGAGTTTGGCTGTGACCAAAAATTGCCTCGTCATGACCTTTCAAATGATAAAATCGAAGGCAGAAAGCTTGACCGCCAAATATTCAAGCACTGATGTTTGCGTTAAACTAATTACTTACAAATTCAAGCAATCCGGGAAGACTTCATCGTAATAAATCTTTTTTAGATTTTGTATGTACACGAAAATATTCAGAAGACTTGTACCTTGCTATGAATAAACAAACTGAATTAATCAAATAAATAAAGCATTTATTTAGGTGTATAGAAGCTGAATACCAAATTAGACGGTCACCAGTATGAAGAAGGATGGATCATTTCATCTGGGCTAAAAATACTTTGACGTCTCATTGTAAAACCAGTGTGAACATCAGTCCTGCATATGCCATATTACAATACGAATGCACTCCCCTGGTCTGTCCGATGGGCCTCAAAAGCTTCATAGCCTCATTCGACAAATCTTCACGTATCGAAAAGTTTGGATTCGCTTTGATCGAAAAATATACGTGTAGCTATTACTTCGATATGTATTAGCGGTTATCATAGGCATTTGTTTGTTACAATAGTTAAATGAAGGCAAAGCGATAGCACGACAAAGGGGCAAGTAAATACTAGACGTTGAGGTAGCTACTTTATCAAAGGCAGTCAGCAAGGTAAGTGGCAATTTAAACTAATTTTCACGGATCTGCCTTCTGTCGTCCTGGAATGTCTCATTTTCCCGAGATTTTGTTTGAAGTGTGAAAGAGCTCAGTCAATCATCAATAGGTCAGTAAGGGACCAACCAAAAGTGAATGTTCTACAAACACCGTATTTCAAGGAGCACTGGCCTCTGGTAATGGCATATTCTTTTTATGTCCGCAACGGGGTAGGGCTAAAGCCTAGAATTAAGAACGGCGAAGTAAACTATCCAGGGCACCTACAAATGTTGCAGCCTTGAGACCCATAATAACTTACATGCACTTATTTGCATCTGTCCGGGCCACTTAACTCGTCGGTACTTCGAAAATTTTATTAGACATATACAATGCTATAAAGTAAACATACGACAAATATCGGCTGATAGAAATCCTGCTGTTACTTTGACGGGAAGAGGATCACTAGTTGTACATCAGGTAACGTTCCTGGTAACGCTGATTCGCTCATGGAGAGTAAATATGATGATGATGCTGTTTTGTGCAAACTAAGTTATTTAGAACTGAGCGTGATTGATGCTGAAAGACATTGCTGCTATGTAGGTATTAAATAAGTAATAATAAATTAAATAAGAACTACTCGAACGAATTTTGCGCAAATCATAGAATATTTTAATCTGTCGGGCCGGCCTTTAGCAAGTATCACCGGTGAATAATCATGCCAACGATCGGCTTTTTTTTTTTTATTTTATTTTTTTTATATATTTTTTTATATATTTATATATTATAAATATTTATCAACATCGTTATTCTATAAAAGTCTTCACGAAACAAGCATTAGTTCTTCATATCAGCTACAATAAATCACGAATTCAACAATGAATCACAGATGGCCGTTATATACATATCGTTGGATCAGGCTCACCTAAAATGGCTAGTTCCAAGATTATGACGAATGGCTAGCTCTTTTAAATAACTTCTTTCAAGCGATCGCTGATCCTTTACCGGCGCTTTAGAATCGCGGACGACCTCAACTCGCAGAACCCCATCCTGAGGCCACCGTTGGCTAACGTGATCGAGACAAACTATTGGACTGCGAACAAAGGCGCAGTGCATATATGATAATGTCGCGAAACATAACAAAGCCTGAAACAAACGGAGATCAGACATTAGTTAACTCTCTGTAATGTGCTGACGTAAAAACCCAACCAAGACATGGAAATCCATTGCCCAGTGGTCTCAAATCATAGAACAACTTACATGTTCAGTTTACCTATAGGACGACAAAAAATCTTATGCCCATATCTTAATCTGTTATGGCAATACATATATTAAGTATTTATTTATGCCAACTAGCAATTAAAGAGCGTTAACATAAAGTTTACTGATCTTCAGAATAAGTATCTGATCGTCACGAATAATTTTCATGCATGGCTGGCCAATTTACGTCAAAACAAAAAATCCGTAACGCCGGGATTTCGTAACGCCCGATTGCCATTTGAAACGTGGCTGCGGGTCATCAAAGAATACAGTGGAAGCCATCTACGGTAATAAACCTGTCAATGATGGAAACAACAAACGTCATTTTTATATCCGAAAAATCTGGAACTCAGCGATGATCTGACTGAACTAGCTTGCATAACGGAGAGGCGGTATACAATTAGCAGCTTGGAACTGCTTACGTTTTTATAGACGTTTTAATCTTTTACGGAATAAGTGCGCGGCAAACAATTGCCCCTGTGATTTTTTTACCTCCACAGAAACCTTTTCAGAGAATCGTTTTTCAATAATGTCTGACGTGTCATCTAGAACTCAACTATCCAAATAGTTAAACTTATTTTTGCATAATACTTATTCGATTTTTATAGTACACGTCACCCAAGGCACAACAGTTAATTTGTCCCAATGTCGAACATAAAAGAGCATATCACTCCATCACTTCATCATAACACAACTGATGCAGTATAGCGACATCCAAAAAAAGAAAAAAAAAACATTATAAAAACGAATACGCGGTGCTTCTTTAAAAAAGTGTTACCCACCAGACAGTGCCCAATAACACCGATCTTTGGAACCGAGTGTTAAAAACATTGATCCTTGCTTTGTCGAAACAGATTATTTACGATGAGGAAAACAGTGGACATTAGGTATGAGTTATCGTAAGGACACTGACTTCGATTTTGAACCAACGAAGGACTTCTCGCATATATATAATTTACTTAAAACTAGAGATTTTATTTCCAGAACACGTATAGAAAATTACGGCGGCCTTGCGGCGGCGTTTATTGTACTCCTTCCATGCATCTTTAAGTTGTCAGGTACATAGCACCTCATCGATGCACTCTACGAGTCACGATGGCAGGCAGGCACCGAAAAGGTTTGATTAGTGCGCTATTACTAAGGAAGGTCTGCTGCGTTAAGTGTTAATAAAATAACTCAGTCAGCAACGCATCAGTTTCTGAAAGGGGCTATAAGCAGCTGCATGTGTGCGTGAAATATATAGCCACATGCGGAACTATCTTTTGTTAGTGGCCGTAATAATGCGTTCACCCCAGTAAAACGACATTCAACTGAAAAATTCATATCTAGATATTTCCAAGACGATGTTAGAACGAGCCAGGTGATCCCACTTGGCCATAGGCATGACAGAGACTTTACGCTAATACTAAACTCTGAACATGTATTTTGTATAAGCCTGCTTAACCAGATAAAGAAACAACCATTACCTTTACTTTTCCAGACCTTTCTTTACTAGTTCCCGCTATTCCCAAGCAACAAAGCCCTTACTGGGAGTGCCCGAAGACCACAATGTATGTATTTATCTATCAACGAAGACGATGGTCTTGTTGTACACCGTTGAGGAATAGGTGAAGATCTTTTGAGCCATTGAACTCTTCGAGTCATTTCGCAAACGCAAAAACGAAACGACAATAAAGAAACTACACATAAAAACCTTTACACGCGCACTTATCATCTTGATAATCCCCAATGGAATTCCACTTTGAGTAAGTCTCCTTATTCTCTGTCCCTATATCATTTTATGTTGAATCGAAGAAAGGATTACCCCTGCCTTTTACTGCTTTCAGCTTTCAAATGTTCGCAAGCGGGGCGTCGGCAAATACACTACCAAAGTTACCTGAGCAATTCGGTATCCATTGTAACCGCAGCTATAGCGCGCACGAAGTAAAAGTAAGCCAATTCCGGCGTTTTATGCCGAAACATCGAAGACATCACGAGCGACTGCATAATGCATTACTCAACAGCTGGGTTCGTCACGACAACACAAATCTGTGACCAGCACAAACAATTTTCGGCTCGCGCTTCAGCTCCCGCCTAACGAAGCCAACGTCAATTGTTGTTTCTGGGTAAATTTTTCCTCATCGTGGAACCCTGACCAACGTGAAAATGTGACGCAAAAAAAAACCGGAAAATAATTTGTGTTTGTTCGTAGCGAGCCAGATAATAAAGGTAAACAGGTGGCTTCAATTAGGTCATGGTGTGTAAATATGGTACGGTACCCTGCCTTGTAGTAACTAAAATCGTTCTATTACCACAACACCTCTTCCGGCAGACAGCAGCTCGGCGTGCACCGATGACAGTATGAAAACTTCAAAATGTACGTCGTTTTCATTTTTTTCTCTAACACTATTCTATCCTGGTAACTTTATATTTTCAACATTTTGGCCTGATTGGACCTCATCGTATTAACAAGGCAACTGGAGTCGCACCTTTTGTCATGCGATTACCTTTGCTTAAAGCATACTATTTAAATATTATATACACTATTACTCAAATAGAATTTACACATTGACCTATAACTTTTGATTTCGCGCCTTAATTCAAAATCGATGAGTGGCGTAAAAGCCTGTGTACGTTGAGTCCACACAAGATGGTCCACATACGAGTCAGATTCTCCTCCTACAACGACAACAGGGATGATTGCAAAGACCTGCTGTGGTCAGATGATTTCATGGTCAGAAACTAGACGTACACACAGCTAAGACGTATTGGCCGCCGCACTCCGGTGATTCTTATGGGTTGTCGATGAAAATTTTGAAACAAGATTCAAGTTGAACGATCTGAAATACAATACAACGCTATACATCCTATTAGACTGCGGCGGTGTGACCTCATAGGATCGCGTCCGTAGGACAATTGAAAGCTGGCTATTAAAACAGGGATCTTTGCCAGATATCGACATCAATAGATCGAATTTAGATTTTTTTTTGGGAAAAGCCTGTTTCTTTTTTGTCTCGTTTTCGTTTTTGTTTGTAGAGCACCAATGGCTCTGTTGGCGTTACCATTTCAACAACATTCATAGCTGCATCGGATATATATACATCGTTACCAGAGGCTCTGTTGTTGTATGGAGCCATGTGGACAGAGGCCATCGCCAGATCGACATTTGCGGGCGAAGCCCGTTGGAATCGACCGCGACAGCGTCGTCTGGCGCATAGGGGTTCAGCAAAGTCCCCCCGATCGAATTGGCATTATCGCAAATGATACAACCTTATAATGACGCTATGCAAACACAGTGAAGATAGATGCATGTGTACGGTAATTTTTTCATTTCGCAGCAAACAATAGGCCATCAACGCCGATTGTGGATCAGGAAGTGCTGCACGCCACCGTGTAACGGGCGGGACGTATCAACAAGCTGAAGGAGAGCTTCGAATGTTTTTCAATGGCGAAAGCATAAAAGAAAATCCCTGCCTTTACTATAATGTGCCATTACTGAAAGCAAAAAAGTCGCGACGAAATGCAAAATGTATAGAATCTTTAACATGTGTCTTTTAAAAATTTTTCTCTGTTCTTCTATCCCTTTTCTTTCGCTAGCTAGCACAATTAGATGTTTTATTTCTAGAAAATGTGCACGGACGGACGAAGATGAATAGATTGCGACAGCATCCTAAAACTGAAGTCGCTTAACTTCGAAACCACACCCCCCAAAACTATTGAAGAAAGATCGATTGCTTTGCACAAGCGGCACAGATGAAGCCTTCCACCAGTTGTATAACGGCAGATAAATTGTTTGTTTTGCAAATCGACGAAGCATCAGCGAAACAATTGTAAATTTCGAATGGTTGTTTCTACCCCATTCTTAGGTCTCGCTTTGAAAAAACCGAATTGCGTTCGTTACGTATAACGATCACAAGTTCACTTCAGAACTTCTGTGAAACGGTTCGTTGATATCTGCTTTTATAATTATAGCAGAGTGTATAGCCCATTCAAAGGCTAACGCAGAAACATCCAATAGCTCTTATTTCTAGACATTCTGTTGTGCTTTAGATGTTGCTCCATACAAATTTTTATACACAACACTTTCTTTCAGTCTGTCTACATCAGTACGATTACAGCTTTTCCTCCCTTGACAACTTAGTGCCCCATTAGAGAATAACTGCATTAAAACTTCGCCGATGGTATCGTCGTCTGATCAGCTATAACTTGCATGATTTACGTCTTTGTTTAATTCTACTCAAAGGGACCGTGCTAGCCAGTGCGTGGCGAAAAGCGCATCGATCGCCGTATCGTTAGCTACTGCGAGGTACAGGTATACAAGCGATTCCTAATAGCATGTCCTATGATTATCCTGCGTAATAATAGCGTAAAAGCCTTGATACAGTTAGGAAAAAATTCGTGATAGCCTATGACTCCGGTTGTCCGTAAAAGATGTTAAGAGACCTGCAGACTAGAGACGAAGCCCAGCGGTTCAGCTCGAGCAAAATGTAGATCTTAGAAATGGATTGTACATAGGACAAATTTGCAACAGCTGGCGTAGCGGAGATTTAGTACATTGCAAGTAATAGAATACGGAGCTATTCATCAGATTGAATGTTTATTTTACGTCCGTCATCCGGTCTGTACTGTTCACTGCTAGCTATTTCTACTACGTGTGGATAACTCTCTCTTTTTCTCTCCATTCGTATTAGGGCAAAAAAAAAACTTGATTCCAGTTAAACATAGGGTGCTTGCCAGTCGGCAATTTTTGCGATCTGCACCCCATGAATAGTGCCTATTAATGAGTTGATTTGTACCTGAGGTCAACGTAACTCTTGTGTTTGCTGCTAATTGAAACAACTAGAAAAACAAATGGGCGAAATGCTTTCGATTGAAACCCAAGTAACAAAGTTTGGGCTTTTCATCCATGTCGTCGTCGATCGTGGTGTTATAGCGATCAACTGCGGATGGCGTGTTTATTTGTACGTGCACCTTTCTACGTATATATATTATGTGTATATGTATATATGTGAATATTGCCTACCATCAAGAAGCAGTGGCAGATGTACGAAGCACTGCTCGAACATATGTGTTGAAACATTCCTGTTTAGATACACCTTTCGAATTGGTACTAAGTAACATATACAATGCACAGTGCGTTCCGAACGTCAGGTAACTTCACAGGAAGTAACCCAAAATTTGACACGTTTAAACATGGCACTTCCGGCAATTTGTTTCTACTCTTGACTTTGTAAATATATATAATTAAGCAGCGGCGTTTGTGCTTAGTTAAGAGGATGTTAATTTTTTGGTTAACCCTTTTGAATGGTAACGGGGGTCTTTTTCTCACCACAAAGCTATGACTCGTAAGAAACGTTTGTTGCATTGTTCCCCTTTTAGCTTTGAAAAAATACCACTACCCTAATATGTACTTACAGAAAAACGAAGTAAAATCCATTATTGTACATGTAAGCTTACCGTTAAATATTCGGAAGAAACTGTTAGATATTGGCTAACATATGATAAGTTTTCTCTCACTTTTAAATATCCTATAAATTCTGCTGTTTCAATAAATGCGACCGAAAATAGTCACATTGTAATTACGCTATACTGATACAATTTACCAGTCAATTCTAACTGAAGTGCAACAATAGTGCCATTTACTAATAAACTAATGTTCAAACCAGCGGTTCAGCGCCAAACTGTTCTCACGTTTCGTAATATAGGTTGAAGAGCTCTACCTTGCGGAGACCTTTCCTCTCTCGCAATTTTAGTTGGACCGATAATATGTAAGAAGAAAAACAAAAATCCGTGTCCTTACCACGGCAAGGAGCGCGTATTCGAGAACAGCCCGCGCAGACGGAGGCACCCTTCTCGAATAGCTTTGGCTGACCTTAACAAAAAGCGCGTGGCAAAGACGATCACGCACAGTTAGCACCGTCGAGGGATTATAGTTGTACTGAAAGTAGAGCATATGTAGCATGCCTTGCTGCTGTTGGGGCGGGCCCACCGATGGCTGAACGGCGGGACCGCTCATTTTTAAGTCGTTCCTTGTCCAGCTGAAATCACCCATGTAATCAATAAGAGAAAGCAATAACAGAACAACAGGAAAAACAAGCAACAACAGAAAAAAAAAACAGTCAATTAATTATTACATTTGGAATGAGGGAAGAGCTTCTGATACGAATAAAAGAACATTCATTCAAAATTCAACATCGTAGTTCTCCAAGTTTTACATACGCCACATTGCCACTGCACCACATGCCAAAATAAACGATTAGTACTCATGCTATTTGTTGTTATGCTCAATCACTGGAAATCATCCCGTTGCTTCAGCATAATTATAAACTGTACCTACAATTTTTTCTACCTGAACACGTTAGCCGGATTTTCCTATGAAACAAGCCCAGATCCATGACCCTGTTGAACACGACAACGATCAACAGGATCTTTTTACACAGCGTCAAAAACAGCACTTGGAACGACGTCGTTCAGCTTGTTCAACTAAAAACGTTTGTTCTTCTGACAACTCCAGTACCACGGATTTTCTCTTGCCGACGTTGCTGGCGTCATCTAAGTATCTAAACCCTACCAGCGAGCGGTACTGCCATGGGACCAGGATCGCCATTTGGTGGGTAAAACGACTCTCTTAAAATGCTGAGACGTCTAAGAGGGCCACCGAATATGTGGTCAGAGGCCAACCTGTCTAACTCTAGCGAATCTCGTGATTTATATTGCTAAGTTACCCCATTAAGTGATCCCACAGATAAGCGTACGAAAGTATGGTAGTGATTTAAATGGCGTCTCAATTCTGTACTCCTGTGAACTGTAAGGCTGGGCCTTGCGGTTATCCAGGACTTGACAGTGACGAAGAAAGCCGTCTTTCGTCTGTACCGCTTGTATCCGATTAGATTAGAACTTTCTAGCATAAGGAAACCATATTGAATGTTTTTACTACTACTAATAGTTTTCCAGTTTTATGTTGGCGATCAGTTTGTGACAAACAAGATCCGTTGTTTGAATCTCTGACGCATGTTTGTATGCTGATCACATCTAATTTTTGTATTTGTTCATTTTGTAACTGAGCATTGGTACTCTTGTAAGAGTTAGTGTCAAGCATCAAAAATGAATGAAAAATGAACGACGACAAAAGGATGGCAGCTCTCAGGCTAAGTGTTGAATTGGTATTTTTCTATCTTATTTTATTCTGTCTGGTTTAGGAACAGAGGCAAAACCTCTCTAACCTATCTGATAGACCTTCGGTATCGACTAATCGAGTCATATCAACAATGTCTCAATGTCCATAATCAACGCTAAACCAGTATTACGTATGAATAAACATTCGCCACCATTAGTTACACCTCATTTCGTATCATCACTGAACGCCCTCTTAGTGACCTATTTACTGATGGGCCTGACAGGTTCATTTTACCACCCAAAAATCTCAAAGGAACTGTTCGGTTCGGGCAATTTATATCGATATATATATATATATATATATATATATATATATATATATATATATATATATATGTGTATATCCATTACGGTCTCCGATCCAAGCTCAGCATAATCAGCAGAGCGTGTCAACTATTCCGAGGTCAGCGACAGACCACAAGTCATCCATAATATACAATGAACCAGTGCCCTTAATTACAGAATAGGTTAAGATTATGTAACGATGGGTACAAGCGCCTTCCTGTTAACGAACGTTACTAGTACAATTTGTAGCACAGGGTACCATCGAACATGACGCCCCCAAGCAGCATTCCCATGTCGACCTGTCTGCAACTCTCATTGTACGATGCGTACAATCTACCATTCAAAGATGGTCGATGCATAATTTTGTAAGTTCACCGATGACATAATTCAACGGTATAGCTAGCCGTTGAGGTTTTCGAATGAAATATTGCTACACCTATTCCAACCTGATTTATCAAGGACGTTTCCCCTCTGTCAGTGAATAGTGGAAGCTAATGCAACAGAGGGCAAATGAAAGCGAAATTGAGATTGTACATGTGACTATGTGACAAATGCCGGCATAAAGCGACCAATAGCTTGCTTGCCGTTCGTCACCGGATTTCAGCAACACTTATCTACGGATCTTTTTCAAGACGTGGACGTCGCAACCGACTAGTATGGTACTATATTAAACAGGCTTTACAGGACGGCAAAAATGCGCCGCTCAGCAAAAGTTTCAGGGCAGGTTAGAAGCAAGAATTTAAATGCGAGGTTTTTCGTTCCAGCCTGAGTATAGTAGTGCGATTTCATTAGCAAAGTTAGCAGAGTTTCTCTGACAAATTTTCGAATCGTCCGTGTTTTTTTCTATTTACTACCAGTTAATAGGTGTCGCCAATGTTTGTTAACGTTGTTATTTTCTCTGTTTTTCGTATATCTCTATTTTTTCAATTAGCTAAATACGAACTAAGGATCTCCATCCTCCTAACGAGTTGAGATTTGGGCTATTTAAGGCATGGCGAAGAGACACGCAACAACTACAGTCTCTTACAGGCTTCAATTCCTAGATAGCAATATGTGCGCCGGTTTCGTAGCTATTAAATTGAAAAGTGTCCCGTCCTTTGAGACCATTGAATCATTCCTCAGTTCCAAAATACTCAAGGCGCAACTGTTCTGTTACATTCGGTTTGTTAAAAGCCCAAATTCCAATTGAACTGTTCTGCTGACGGTCTCGATTAAAAGGCCTAATTGGCCTAACGCAAAGGAAATCATAGTTTAATGATGGGGAGCTAGTTAATACGACGTCCACTGCCTATAGGCCAAACTGGAATTAAGTACAATTGCACATTGATGCGCCGCGATAGAACACAACATTTTTTTACCCGTTGGCTCGACATTTTTAACTGATACGTATCAGTCGATACAAGCGGAAAATGAACTAACCCAAATCGTGAAATCTTTAAATTTATTGTTAATTTTGTAATACTTGCGAATAATGAATTAGGAACAATTGATTAAGCAACTCTAATGGCGTATTGCCCCGTTACATCGGTTCAACGGTGACCCCTCGTTTTCGAAATGGGTTCTTTATATGTCTGCTCAATATAAGGAAGTCGTTACGTTCGACCGGGAACCATTTCATTTCTGGGGGCGACACAGTCTAGCAGAAAAAGTTCCCACACTCAACATCTCTCACAATGACGTGCCCCAAAATAGAAGAGATCATTAGAATCAACTGTGAAGCTTTTATTTTTAAACATCCGGGAACCGAACTGTCTCAATGGGACGTTTTTTTTGAAAACTTCGAAAAAATCGAATGTATACGCGGACAAAATGGTAAGCGTTTCACGTTTGGGAAGGCAGTTTATGCTTTATTTGATTAGTGGGCCAGTCTGTAGACGGCCAGAATTTTGTAAAGAAGCTACTTCTCTCCAATGGTTGCTAGCCAAAATAGAAGACCACAACAAAACAATCGATGTCGCTTTCGTTGCAGCTCTTCGGTTTACATCAATTCGATGCTTCTACATCATCGCTGATTCCTCGTCTTCTATTGATTAGAATATGATTATGGACGAGTATTGCGCCGCTGGATGTGCACGTTACAAACTTTGTTGGCATACTCAATACTTCGCAGTGAAGAACAATGATTCGTCAGAATTTCTTACAAACGACCTCTATTTTTCGCAGGGCAGAAACGCACGATGTTTGCATCAGCTTACGTCTTGTTTCCGCTCTAGGATCACCCGCCTTAACTGCCTATACAAATTCCCCCACACTTTAGTGACCTCCTTTTTTCTTTACTTCAGCCCCTTCTGCTCAGTTCGATGACGATGGCAATGAAGCCAACAAAAAAAAGACACTCCGTTCAGGAAAGGCCTGCTGTCTGGCTGTTATTAACGCAACACGAGGTGCTTTTCTGTCATCTTGTCATACGGCACCATGGTTTACGCGTCGCCATCGGTCAAGTTTGATAGACGGCTACAGAAACCACAAAAACATCAACGCGGTCAGCCGATTGGACTGATGTGCTATTATTGCTCTCATTGCCGTTGTTGTTATTGTCAGAGAACTTCAGCAGAGGCGGACAAGAATGCCAAGACAATGGTTGAGTACAATCAATGGTACCGAGAAGCCATCGACCCAATCATAGAACAGGTCTCTTTAGCGTAAGGCATTCGAATACATTGACAAGAGTAGTATAGTTTGTTCTTGCCCATGATCGTTGAACTTACTCCTGCCGAACAAATGTTCATTTGCTCATCCAGCCAGCGCTCTTTTGGCAGCACAAAAGAACCATGAGGCTGATCGGAGGACGACACGCACAACCCTATCTATTAGCTGTGAGACAGCATCTACGATAGGATACACGGCCCTACGAATGCGCTGGTTTGAGATACGAAATAATAATAGCGACAGATCAAATCCAATGTTCGCGCTTCACTCCCAGCGATCAGCGGATCAGTACAGCCAGAGACGCTAGCCAACACGTTCCACAAACCGGGTTAGTGCTATCGTAAACAGGAAGCTTCTGTTCTGATAGCGGCTTGCCGCTTTGGCTAACACGAAAGCGTACTGCCGCCGGACGCGGTTCTCCGATTCGGAGTTTCGTATTTCCCGTTTTCAGCTTGTTATTTTACCTTTTCTTCCTTGTTCTTATCCCTCTTACTTCCAACTAATTTAGCTTTTCCACGGTTGCGACAATAGCTGCACCAGCGGCAGCGGCTGCTGGCCAACATCGTCGTTCCCAGACCGCTTCAAAACTGGCACACAAAAGGGGCACAAGGCGGCGTAAATGCAGAAAGCGACGCTAACCTTACGTTTAGCTATTTAGCCGTCAAGCTGCGAGCGAAATCACCTGTCTGGTACCGGTTAGTAAAAGTACGGTCACCTGAGCGTTCACGTACCGGTTGGCACGCAGTGAAAACTATCCGGCAGTCTAGCAATAAATAATTCGAAAACTAGATACAGCAAAATGGATATCACCATTGCTAGCTCATCGATGAGATAGCGTTCACGCCACTATTAGTATAACTGCACCAGTCATACATAACATTCATTGTAGAAATATCATAGCAGTAGTACCCGTCGATGCGCAGCTAAT